TTATTGCACTGAGGCTGTAATCCCAAACAGCTATCAGGATGGATGGGCAGGTTCGGTGCACCACTCAAGCACATCTCCAGGAATCTCTCCACTCACAAGATCCACTACTTTCTCTACATACAGAATGCAAGTGTAGTTGACACAATTGGAAGAGAGGAACCACCATTCAAGACTAAGTCGCCAGTCATGGCAAGTGGGCATGTCTCAGCCAAGCATCTGTCTCAGTGGAACATTGTAAAGTATGTTTGCCACTGCAGCCTTTACACCCTGACAGGAAGGTAGGACTGTGTAGAACATGGGGATGTTAACTGCCTTGCAGTGTTCCGCAGCTTGTAGGTGAGGGCTCAACGGTGTACCAGTTTGGGCAAAACACCATGCTGCTGGCCCCTGCTACAGTTGAGCAGGTTGAAGCACTGTCCTGTCCAATCCTGTGATTATGCAACCTATCGTAAGTGCTATGCAGGATTCTGTCGTGTCTTATGCATAAGGCCTCTCACTTGTTATTTGTTTTCCTTCATTTTTTGGATGGATTTGGGGCTGATATTTGCTAATTGTTGTGTGTGTGTGTGTGTGTGTGTGTGTGTGTGTCACACAGAGAGAGAGAGAGAGAGAGAGAGAGAGAGAGAGAGGGAGGTGAATTTGAGCTGCTGCCCCTTCCACCTTCTTCACCAAGCCTCCCAATCTTCAGTGATTTGTTACAATGTGTGGCTTCGCATTCACTTTTCTAACTTTGGGGTGGGTTGTCTGCAACTGTGACTTCCTTCTCCAGTTGTGGCGATGATGGGAGAACACGTGGATGGAGATGGGCCAGTCTTGTAAAAGAGGCTGAAGAGGGAGGTGAGAAGAGCCGCTGGACTCCTTGCATGCCCTTACTGTTTGCCGTAAAATTGGGGCGTGGATCTCACTTTTCTCTTAACCCCTTCTTTCTATCCCGCTTTGTGTGTGTGTGTGGAGAGGGGAAGGGGGGGGGGGGCAATGAGAAAGGCCTTAGCGAGTGCTGAATGTTTAGAGTACTTCTTGGCGGCCTCTTTCTGACAGGGAATTGGGGCAGGTAAAAGTGTGAGTGTTTAAGCTGTCATGTGAAGTGTGGGTGTGGCATACTGCGCATCCACACAGGCCTGAAGGGCCCGACCTGACGGAAAATAAGGGCCCTCCAGGCCCTGTGTCGTTTCAGCCTAAAAGCCTGAAAACGAGGGCCATTTTCAGGCCCTTGTGAGCGCTGCAGTAGTAGTAGCTAGCGCTAGAGCAGTCTTCAGCGCTGGGCGCTGCTAGGAGGTAGAGTAGCATTGGGAGAGAGAGAGAAGTTGGGAAGCCAGGGAGACTTACCGGTGGCGCCATAGCTCGAGCTTCGTCTTCGATGCACCTGCAACAAGTCGCCACCTTCACAGGTTAGTACTTGGTACAAGAGGGAGACAGAGAGAGTTCTTCTTCTTCCTCCTCTTAAGTCCACCATCTCTCCCTCACCCTCTTGCCACCTGACTTCTCAGTATCTGCAGACTACGGGAGAGAGAGAGGTTGGTGACTTTGGGACTTTACGACATTTGGATTCAGACTCGACGTTGGGATTGAGACATTGGACGAGGGATTATTTGGGACCTGTACCGAAGACTTGGTGTTGACGACATTCCCATCTTCCCCCTCTTCTTCATCTAATCACCCTCCTCTTCGTCTGTGTATGCTTGGGACTGGCGCATTCTTCCTGTGTGAGTGCCAGGCCCCTTCACACCATGCGATGATGATGATGTATGTTTGGTCTGCATTGCGACATTGATTGGCCTGGTCATTGGTATTTTAGCCTTCCGCCGCGCTATCCTGTACTATGTGAGAGAGGTCGGTCATTGTTCTGGTCTGCACCGTTACGGTATGCAACAGTGTTTCTTGTCCGCCCAATCTAGGATGATTGGCAGTTGGAGGTTCTCTCTGTTATTCAAACCAGTGCAAGGCAGCAAAGCTGATGGGTGGCAAAGGAAAAAAAGGGAATCTTAGATGCTGTCGTAACGGGGCGCTACATGCTCAACCACGCATATGTAGATATCCTTGCACTCTGCGATGCGGTACCAGGAGTGCTCTTCCTGTGATGTTTTGTGTTTCTTTTTGGTGCTCCTTTGGTTTTTCGTTCTCCTATCGCTAAAGTTTATCAGACACGGGCTCTGACACACCCCGCCATCGCCAATCTGGGCCATCCGATCGTGGAAACAAACGGTCGATATTCGTCATGAACGGTTTCTTTGGTTGACTCTTGGCTGCGCGGTTGGTGGACAAGTGGATAGTCCGCCTGGTTGGGATAACTGTTAGTGAACAGAGAGAGCTTCTCCAAATGTCAGAGATTTTCCGAGATTCTCAGAATTGAGAGCCATGATGACGATCTGTCAGAGTTGGTCTGGTGTGAGAGTGAAGGGTTCAGTTGCGTTCGGGGCCGTATGCAAAAAGAAAAAAAGAAGCACACCAGAGTGCCAGAGGGGCAAGACTGTTCACACGATCGCATTTTTTTGGGGTGAAATGAGATCATGTTCGGGGCCATATGCACAAAGAAAAGGAGAAAAAAAAAAGAGCAGTCTGACACATCTTGTTATGAGGCAGCGCGGTGGGGAAAAACCATGGAGAGAACGTGGCATAACGAGAGAGTGCAAAAAGGGGGGGGTGTTCGGGGGAAACACAAGATTGAGTGTGCAGGGCAGAAAACGGGAAAAAGAAGACCTTGAAAGGGTTTCTGTTACGATCCTGGTCATTTCCCAAGTGCAAATTCACAATGAAAGACAATGCCACCCAATTGCGAAAGAAATGAAAGCACTTGCAAAGAGATGAAGACCAGAGGAGAGGTAAAGAAGAAGAAGAAGAAGAAGAAGAAGAAGAAGAAGAAGAAGAAGTACACCAGCAAGACCAATGACAATTCCCCCTTCTCTCTCCACCTTCCTCCTTCCTCCTTCTCTTCACCAATCTTATTCTTCTCTCAATAATAATAATAACAATGAATGGATGAACCAGAATCAATGTCTGAAGTTCCCTCTTACTGCTGACTCAACTCACAACAACAACAACAACAACAAAGTCCACCATGGCCATGGCTTCCCTCCTTCATCCTGCTCTCTCATGCATAGGCCATGGCGGACTACTGGGAGGCAGCTATGACGCTGCGCTGATGTCCCAAGACAACCCAAAGCAGCTATGCCGCTGCTTGACTTGGTCCGCTATGCCTGACTCTGCCTTGAGCTGCTCTGGTGCAGCGCTACCCCAACTGGGGCCTTCCAGATGCAGCGCCCAACAAGGTGATGAAGATGGTGTCCACCATAGCCAGGTAAGTGCCCTACCACTCTCCTACCCTGCCCCCTTCTTCCTCCTCCTCAAGCTGGGGTGCTCGCCATAGCCAGGCTGAGCCCCAGCGGACCTTCACCTCCAAGCAGYGCTGCTTCAGTCCAGCGCTGCGCTCCAGCAGCATGTCGCCAATCCTTGCATACCGCAAACGAGGAAGAGCTCTCCGCTCTTCCTGAAGATATAGCGGCCTACCGGCCTCCTGGGCGGTGACTTCCTAGGCCAAGCGGCCTCCCAGCAACCAGTACCTCCTCCCTTTTGGAGGGAAACATCATTGCAGGCTCTGTTATTGTCCGCACAGGCCCTAGACCCGGGCTACTTGGACTGGTACCGGCCTA